AGTGCACATGGCATTGGATGACTTGAACATCTGTAAAGGCATCATCAATGCTGAATGATATATACAGATTTTGGAGCAACATATGCTGCCATCCGGTCTTTTACAGGGAAGAGCTTGTTTAGTTCAACAAGACAACCAAACCACATTCTGCACATACTACAACAGCATGGCTCCATAGTATAAGAGTCTGGGTGCTAAACTGACCTGCCTTTGGTCCAGACCTGTCACCACTGATAACATTCGTTGCATAATGAAATGAAAAATTTGACCCTGAACTGTTGAGCAGCTGAAATCTTATATTCAGCAAAAATGAGAAAACATTTCACTTTCAAATTTACAGCTGTTGGTCTTTTTAGTTTCCAAACGCTTACAGAGTGTTATTAAGAAGAGGTGAAGAAACACAGTAGTAAACATGCCTCTGTCTCAACTTTTCTCAAATGTGTTGCTGGCATCAAATTGAAAATGAGCTGATATTTTTAAAAACTTCTCAGTTTAACATTTGATATGTCTTTTTACTGCTTTTAAATAAATATAGAGTTTGAATGATTTGCACATCATTGCATTCTTTTTTATTTACCTTTTTGTTTACCTTACACAGTGTCTCAATTTAATTTTTGGGTAATTTTTGTTAAATATTTATACGATTTGTATTTCAGATCAAAAGATGACCATGATACCAAAGCACAGAATTACAGCTTATATTTCTGGTGATGTTTTTTAAAATAATCCATACAGGAAAAAAGGGTCATTTGTTGTGCTTATTATTTTGTGGTTAGTTCTTAGACATACAGTAAAATATGTGTGCATGTGCCTCTGTAGAAGAGGACTCTGTAGGCCCTGTGGAAGCTGTTAAAGACCCCCTGCTGCAGCTCGTCTCCCTCCAGAAGGCTTCAGGCTGCTGGGAAATGGACGGTGCACTGGTGGAGGTGTTTGGGAAAACGGAGGAAGAGGTGGTCAAGCAGACCCCCGCACAGGTGAGTGATGTATTGAATGTAAGGTGTTTGTCAGTAATACAGACTGTATGATGATCTTGTGATCTACTGCTGGAGTTTGATAGAGAAATTTACATCAAATACAGACAACAAATAGGTTGTACTTGTATGTAACTGTATGTGTCCACTTTTCAGTTTAGTAGTGAGCTCTGGGCATAACAGTGGTGCAGTCTGGGCAACATGGTGAAGTCTGTCTTGTGAGACTGAGCCAGATGACTTGCTGGCTTGTGTTTACGACTGATGCACATTCTGAAAATGATAAAAGTCTCCATTTTAAACATAAAATCAGCCTTATTAACAATGTCCATACAGACTCCCAAAAATGGAGTAATAATATGGCTATTCTAACGTTACCTCCTCTGTCATTCTCAGACTTTTTAGCTGGTGTGTTTAAGTGCCTGTTATTGAAGCCTGTTTCTTCCACTTTGAAACTTGGTTTATTTAACACAGTCAGTGCCATATTTCACTCAGCTGCTGGCATATTTAACCAGAGATGATTCATATGATCTTTGTTTTGTCTCAGTTACTGCCAAAATTAACTCTGCGTTGGACAGGATACTTCCTATTTGACTACAGCTGAGTCTGAATAGTTGAAAGAACCTTCCTTTCTTGTCCTTTTCTTTCCTTGATTTAGCTGTAATCTTTCATCTGGTAGTCATGTAGATCCACATACTAGTCAAGCTCTGCAACTGAACTAAGGCTGTAAGCTACAGATCTGGAAAAATCAAGGAAAGCAGATAGGAATGTTAGAACCAGTCTAGGTGACTAACCCTGCCACAATGGTGGATCACCCATAAAGCAATACATGATGACATCACATTCCCAAGCCTCTTTTGCCAGATTAGAACCTGCTGAAGACTGGTTTATTTGATTTATGCTGGTCTAATGCTGGTCTGGTGCTGGTTTAAGTTGATTACTCAGTATGGTCATACTTTTTGACCAGCATCCAGAACACAACATATTCTGTTTTTTCTAGCAGGGTAAGGGAAAAAGACCATTAAAATATTACTTGTGGTTATTATAGTGGTTCCAGCTGTCTCTTTAGCAGGTGGAAATGAACTAGAACTAGAAGCATAAGTTGAGTCGATTCAAGTTGACTGGGAAAATCAGTTTAAGCTTTCTGTTTTTCCAATATTTTGGTTTACTAACTCTCAGGATTGGTACAAAATCCTGTTGTACCACAGCAGCGCTGCCTTCTTTATCCACCTGGATATAAGTTCTTTGCTGTTGTCATGTAACACTGAGTTGTCCTACGTTTTTTATAAAGGACAAGCTTAGACAAGCTTCTTAAACAGTTCTAAGTACTTGGTATTTATATGTATGTATGGGTGATGTATTATGTTGTATGTTGTGTGTGGTGTTGTGTTCAGGTGGAGAAGGGGGTCTGGGCTACAATTCTGGCTCTGATCTGGTTACACGGGTTTAAGATGGACGCTCAAGTTGAGTGGCAGTTTGTGGCCATGAAAGCAGTGACATGGATCCGCAACCAGAAAGGTAAACTTTCCATTCTCACCAGAAATCACTGATCAGAACCCCAAACAGTTACTCTTAACACAACAAACATTGTTCTAAGGTCCATTATTAGGCCTGTTTTACTGCAGTGATGATGATGATGATGATGATGATGATGATGATTTGTGTATGTGTGTGTTTCAGTGGTCAGTCTTTCTGAGAGTGTTCGTGTGGGTAATGATCTGCTGGGCTGCCAGGTTAAAGAAGAGGATCTTGGACTCTGAAGTCTTCATACATTCTTTCTCTAAAGCTGCTGTGTCTAATGCAGACTTCAGAAATCCTATAGCCTACGCCTCATTTACTAATGTTCACACTACCCCTGGTGTTTATTTTGATTTTAGCAAAATTATCCAGTTTTACATTAGCATTTCTGTAGGTTTTTATTACCCTTGCGTGTTTGAATCATTATGCTAAAGGGCCTGTTTGTTTCATCTCTGACTGATCTGTGCCTTCTTGTCTTTGAACAACTTAGATTTAAAGATGTATCATATGGAGCTGTTACGTGTAACTACTGGAGCAAACTGTAGAAGTCATTTTAATAAATATGCAACCTTCACTTCCACAAATAAAATTCTGTGCTGCTGAAGTTTGTGTTTGTCTTTTTAATGAAACAGGTTTTACTTACTTTTATAAATCATAGCTAAATGTCGTCCTAAACAGGCTATAATTTCATTAACATTCTGAAAGACCAAGCAAGTTAAAAAAGTAAGACAACTTTTTGAATTAGTTGGAATTAGTTGATTTAAGAGTTATAATCCAAAAGAATGGAAATACTGACCTACATAAATGAAAGAGATACTAAAGTTTGTCCTGCTAATGTTTGAGTGTTTTTACTTGCCCCACTTAATTTTTTCGGTTAATTTCTAGGGTCATTTTTAAGTTTTTCTTAGTAAATATGGTTGTTATTGCTGTTGTTGATGGTTGTTATCATTTTTCTGATGGATCCAACTGAATAAATGATAAATTTATCTTGGAAGGTAATAAAAAAATAGAAATGGTATGTGGTATGGAATGGTATCTTTGACCAGGTTATTTGGTCAAACAGGTTATATAAATAATATACATATTAGTGAGCTAACAGGAATGAGGGCTGACGCTGATGGTCAGGAGCAAGAAGATGCGCCACTTAGTTTGGGTAACAACAATTGAGAGGTGGGCATAGAGAATGCCAGGTTGAGTTTCAGAGGTGTGGTGATAATGAAGACACCAGATGTCAGACTGCACTGTGAGCACAGCTATCTACCTCAGACTGCACTGTGAGCACAGCTGTCTACCTCAGACTGCATGGTGAGCACAGCTATCTAGACTGCAATGTAACCATGCCACTAGTCAAACCTCTGAGTGAGTGTCCAGGAGTTTTACAGGACTGAGGTGACTCTCTTACAATTGCCGGTTTTAAGTGATTTGTAATCAATTATCAAAAACGTCCCCATGGTGAAATAAATGATTCTAAATGATGTAAACGTGTCCAGCAGAGGGCGCAGATCTGCATCTTTGCCCCTAAGTGTGCTCAGAGGAACTCTTACTTTAAAATCCCTCTCTTCACATGGCTGTGAGTAGCTTCACATCCAGAGAGCCCAGGACTGAGAGTGGACTCTACTGCCTGTTTAAACTCTGTGCTCTGTGGAAGAGGAGAGGGGGCGGCGGGGATTGTTTTCAAGTGAATCGCTGGCAGAGATACATAGGAGGGAGAGGAGGGTTTATGGGAAACAGGCTTTCAGCTCCAGATGAAATCCAGTCTGGTGTGTTTTAGAACAGGCGCTGTTCTGGACAGGAGCTCTTATTTAAATAGACCAAACACCGTATAAAGAACACAAGCAGACTAACCAGAACACAAAGTCACACAGGAAAAGAACTCCTGATGACAGAATGGAAGCATTAAGGGGGCTTTTCAGTGATAACCCACACGGAAAGTGCGCACATGTAAAATATATGAAATAATAATAAAAAAAAGAAAGTATGAAAATCTTAAAGTACTTTAGTGTCTGGAGTACATTTTAGAATAAAACATTGTATTTGAAATGCCTCACACCAGCTTTCAGTAATTTTTAATTCAGTAATTCAGTAGACAGGTTCCTCCTCCAGTGGGGAAGTACTGCTTTCTGTCTTCTTCCTCTTCTCCGATGGCTTGTACCCAGAGCTGCTCTGATATGTTCTCTTTGTCCTCTTTCCATGGTCTCGGTGTGTTAATATAAAATGTTTGCTGCTTTGTCTTTCTGTCTGTATGTAGTAGTTAATATGATTGCTGATTCGTTTCAGAACTTCATATGGCCCTAAACCAAACTGTGCTGCCCTCCAGTGACACAAGTGTACACAGGTTTTGCTCAGCTGCAGATTAAGCCCTTAGATCTCGTCATGGGCGCTTTTCCTTTTCAGAATAAAGGGGGTGGGCTGACTGTCTCACTGTGCTGGACTGGGCTGGTCAGAGGGCTGGGCTTCCCGGCACTGGCCGCCTCTTTGCTCCGCCCCTGCTGATGAAAGCCCTTGAAAAGCAGGCAGCCTACATAGTGAGCGTGCTGTGATTGCATGTGTTCATTGTTTTTCTTCTCTGATTCCTGAGTAGTGAAACAGTCTTGACTGACTGCAGTGAGTCGCCCCGGAGTGGGCGGGGTTATGCAGCCCTGCAGACTCTCACTGTGCTGTACTCATCTTCCTCATTTGAGCTCATCTCAGTAAATGAGCTGCTCAGTCACTGTGCTGGGAACGATTAGACATACGAAGCTGAATCAGACACAGCTTTAATTCAGCTCCACTGCAGCTGTCAGCTCTACATTTAAAAGCAGATGCGTTACTTTCGGTTTCATCTCATTCAGGATCCACAAACGCATCAGTGTCTCCACAGACCAGAACTTTCGTGTTGATCTGGGTTTGATGTGTTTTCGAGGTCACTGACTGACAGTAAGGGCTGGTTTTCTGTTCTTAGTTCACTAAACAGTCTGATTCTCGTTCACTGAGTGAGAAAACTTCGCTCTGATAAACTGTGTTTGTTGTTGGTGTTGCAGAAAATCAGGTCCCGCCCACGTTGTGGTTCTGCAGCTGAAGATGATGAACTGCGGCTTATTGACCGACAAGAATGAACCAGGTAAGAACAGAAGCTCTCCTCACCCTTTTCTCCTGCTGACACTGTTTTCTTTACATTTCTTTAAAACCCCAATTAAACAAACGGCAGAGAGACACGCAGGTCTGAAAGCGTGTAACTGAAATCTGAAATGTTTTAGAGAACAAATGATCGCTGTTACTGAGGACTGCGGTTTACAGCTCACCTGCGTTAAAACGAAACTCAGCTGTAAGGTCGCTGATAAATCACACATCCGCCACCAGATGTCGCTGAAACTGAGGTTTCACTGAGGTTTATCTTCCTGACGGAGACCAAAACAGTTGAAACACATCTTCCTCTCAGATATTTTAATATTCAGTATACATACGTATTTCATAATATCCATCGAAATGATGAACAATACAAAGAGTAATACTACTACTACTAAGGTACCTTCATCATCTTTAAAAAATAAAGTAGTGTTATCTGTTATTGACCCATTTCTGCCATGTAACTTTACAGGGGTATCATTTAGCCCAAGTCAGTGAACTTTATGGGGAATTCAGTCATTCAGTCAGCTGAAACTGTGTGGTTCATTTTCCTGTAGGTCTTTGTCTGAAATTACTAACCAAGTCCTTCCTACATATTTCCTGCTCAGTTCCTCTGAAGAGCATAGTGGTGGATCTGCAGGTTAAGGGTCATGTAGCTACAGTGAGCTCCACTCTGCAGTATGTAAATGAAGAAGAGCGCCCCCTGGAGGCCCTGTTTGTCTTCCCCATGCCTGCAGAAGCTGCTCTCTGCCACTTCAGTGCCAAGATTGCAGACAAGGAGGTAATGGCGAAGGTGCAGGAAAAAGAGAAGGTGAGAAAGAGGAACAGAGTCACCAGACCAGCACTGATCATATACAACTTAGCATGACTGCTTTAGAGCACTGATATGACATTTAATATTTTAAAACCTATCCAGCCACAGAGAAGCACAGATCACACCTGAAATCTCAGCATGTTTTCTGTTAGCGTTTACTTTTCACTACAGCTGGTGTTTGACGTACACCCTGTGTCACTGGTTGCTTTCAAAAGCGAACTGTACAAGATGAGCGATAGACATTTATAATAGTGATAGACGTGTAAATAGAAAACAGATGACTTTCCACTTTGCCTGGAGTTACTTTGACTACTGAAGATACTGAAAATCAGCAGACACTCTCACACTTTCAGACTAGAATTTAGTGTCATAATATTCTTCTCTCTCTGAGAGGAAAAGCAACATGAACCTGTAGATATGGTTGTCACCAAGTTATGGGCTCCAGGGCACAAATGTTTGGTAAGCGTTTACCTGGCTACCTTTTTTGGGTGGTCAGGGAATGTTTGTATGATATCACAGCAGGTTATATTAGGTCTATGCAGCACCACGTTGGCAGAACATTAACTGCTGTGGTGAGCATATCACAATCATGACAAAACAATAGCAAGATTATGCACACAATTTAACATAAACCAACAACAACTTTTCTCTTAAAAATATGTGATCACTATTAACAAGCAAAACATTTACGTCAATGAAGACCACATAAAATAAAATTGTGCAGCTGAAGGTTTCATAATAAAGAAAAAACAGCAGCAAATTTAATAACGCAAACTGTCAAGCATCCTAAGCTAAAGCATACTGGCATTGCTGACATTTTATATTTAGCTTTGGAAATGGGCATCCTCCACTCTGTCAGATCCCTCAGGCACATCTTTTGAGTATATGGAGCTTCATATTCAAAGTACATTCACAGGAACACCAGCTCACCACTAAAGAAAAACCTGAAAGCTTGACTGAAGTAATGGAGGACAGTTGAGTGGTTGCTAAGTAGTGATTGGAGGAGGAAATGAAGCGAACATTTAGGAAACTCTTGGGATGTGTTTATGGTTTTGCTCACATTTTGCAGCTAAAAAAATTTTATATTAAAAAAGAATATTTCCTAAAAATGTATTGCACTGCTACAGGCAAATGGTGATCACACCAGATACTAATGTGGGAATTCAGTTTCATGACCCGCCCTGTTTTTGTGGAGTTTCAGTTAAATGTTTCTAGTAAAAAGTGTTGTGTTTATATTTTTGTTTAGTGTCAGTAATTGCTGTTTACAGTTTGTGTTTTTGGTTCATTTTATGCTCCCAACTGATGACAGACACAGCTTGAGCTCACATAAACAAACATCACTGCTGCCCTCTAAAGTTTTTATAGCCCCAAATCAAAAGTTAGATCTTTTGTTGTTTTATAAGACTCATGGTGGGTCTCAATAAACGTGTTTTCTGCTTTATTTTATTTACATGTATTTGATGAAAACACATCAAATTTACATTCTGTTTGTTACGATGTAAACATGTGAAAATAGCAATTGTGGTCAACTTAAATAATTACTATTAGACAATTATGTACTATTTTTGACAGGACTTTCTGTAGAGCTCCAGACTGAAGTGTTTTGTCTGTACTTCAGGCGCGGGAGGAGTATGATGATGCGATTGCCTCAGGAGATCAGGCCTTTCTGCTGGAGGAGAGTGACGAGAGTGAGGATGTGTTCAGGCTGAGTGTGGGGAGTCTGCCTCCAGCCCAGAGTGCTGCTGTAACCTTCATCTACGTCACTGAGCTCTCTGTGCAGGCTGACCACGCCCTGCGCTTCTGCCTGCCTGCAGTGCTGAATCCCCGCTACACACAACCAGGTACCAAACTGAAAGACACACGCTGCACCTTTCCATCATGAACCAAACACACCATCCTGAACAACACGACACCTGGCCTGTTACACATTACAGCTTTAATCAGGTCTGGAATTATGATCTGGACCTGAATGTAGTTCAACTCACAGCACCAAGTTTAGAATCTGAACTCTGTAGAACTGCAGCTCGACAAAACTCTGTCCCAGCCTGACTGAACCTGCTGTTTTTTTCTTTAACCATTTACTCATGGACTTCCCAGCAGCACAAGTGGTTCCAGTGTGCCAGATTAAAAATGTTTAAGGTAATAAAAGTAGAGAGAAAGAATAAAGTGGAGGGAAACACAGCCAAAATCTACTAAAAGTGGAAGGCTATGAGAAACCTAAAGATAAAATTTGAACCCGAACAGAACTTGAAATATATTTGAGAAAATATGTCCAAACCCATCCAGAATATACAGGTGTACTCTCAGATATATGTAGTAATATATAAAGTATTGCACTATATACCTCATCTGAATGTAAGGAGTCATGCTGAACAAACTAAATGAGCTCTTATCTCAGGTTCCTCTGTTTTTCTCTCAGGTACAGGTGGTGGTATAGTGTCAGAGATAACATCATCACCAGCAGGTGTTCCCTACTCTCTTTCTCTCACTGCCCATGTGAGCTCTCCCAACCCCATCACTAAAGTAGAGTCCAAATGTCCTCTTGAGCCTCTGATGTTCCTCAACGCAGACCACACAAATGCAAAGGTATGAGTGTGTTTTAAAAAGAGAGAATATTTCTACTTTCCTTTCCTCGCTCACTCAGCACTCACACTTCAGAGAAGCCTGCTGCATGTCTGCTCCATATGATTCAATCTCTCTGCACCACTCACATTCTCCGATACAGAGGGTCAGTTTTGATATCTGTACAACCTCAATCTGCCTGATATTCACAAGCCTGACTAATTCCATGTGTCTGTGCCTGCGTTTAGGTGAGCCTGTCTGCAGGTCATATGTTTGATAGAGATGTCGAGCTGTTCCTATATTATGAGAACGCCCACCAGCCCACTGCTATAGTGGAGGCTGGAGAGCCCACAGCACAGCCAGGTAAACTAAACACACTTTCAGTCACTTCAATTCAACAAACAAAAGCTTATTGACTTAAATGAGTAGTATTGGTACGTTTCACTGAATATAATACACTAGAAAAAGTAACTTCTTTCTGCAGGACCCCTAGTGAACATTCTGCCAGCAGGATAAAAATCAACTTGGACATTTTAAATAATATAATTAGAGATGCGCTGATACCATGTTTACCTTTCCAATACCTCATCCTTAAATATATGCCGATACCAAGTACAGATACCGATACTAACTCTAATCTAACAACCTGTAAGATGCTAATGACGTTTACTTGTTTTAGTGCATATATTTGATGCTTAAGAACACTTATTTTTGTTCATTTGCTCCATATGTATGTATGTATATATATATATATATATATATATATATATATATATATATATATATATATATATATATATATATATATTTAGTGTATTAGTATGCAATTTGGGATGGGGCAGTAGTAACACAGTGGAACATCTTGGCCATTTAGGCTATATTCTCAAATATTGTATCAGTATGCTTTCAAAATCAGATTTATAAGAGATAATAATAACGATCCAAAAAACATGCTTTACTGCCTTTGCTGGGTCGGTTGTGACTTTATCTCATTACAGAGAGCCACAGTGATGCTGAATGAACATGAAGTTGCCTACTAAAATGGTGGCAGTACGATTGTGACGTCATTGGAGCACTATCATTTGGTATCCCCATCACTGATAGCCATACTGCTTTAAAGAGCCAGTATCAGCACTAATACAGATACAGTATCGGTACAATTTCAGTCAGTTATTTATTGAACAAACGTTATGTCTTAAATGAATAGTATTGGTACGTGTTACAGAATACCATACACAATAAAAATGTAGCTTCTTTCTGCAGGCTGCCTAGCAGTAACTCTACCAGAATAAAAATTGGCTTGGATATTTTAAGTATTGTTTCTCCCTAACTCTGTTATCAGATTAATTTTTGCCTCTCTTGTGTGAAATATTGTGACTATGTTGAGCTGTTGGCGAGCTCAGTGGGGGTGAAGGTGACTTCAGCTTTCTTAACTTCAAAAATGTATGTACAACACCTGTAATAAAAAATAGCATTTCAATACCAGACACTTTCTAAACGCTGACTTGCTTGCTCACCCACTAAGATAAGGAGGTTATTTCCAATGAAATATATTCCATAAATGTTATTGAAGAAAACAATAGTTTTGTACCGAGTACTGAGGGACCTCCAGAACGGGTGGAAACTGTATTTTATGGCTATTGTGAAGAAGGGTTAAACCTGAGGAAACACAGTCATGGATAAATAGAAATAAACATGAACTATGAAACAAGATGTAAATATGAACAAACACATCTGGATTTTTTTATGTATCTGACAAGAGAATCCAAAGAAACGTAACCTAGGAAAGTAGTGTATTCTTATCAACAGGTGCTACCATCTGTCAGTTGTCATAAATCGGCATATATTTTGTCGCTGTCCAAAGAAAAACGTATCTATTTTTAATCTAATTTTTGTTGATTTTTAGTTTTGTGCATCCTTTGAACATGGTGGCTGTCGTTTACATCATCTGAAAATTTCATGATCAATAAACCAAAAGAAACGCTTAAAAATTACTTGAAATAAAAATATCTTCACGTTGACTTACATTAAAACTTTTGCCCTCTCCTGTAAAGTTACTATTTTGGAGATACTTGTTTTACTTTGGACAGCGACGATTTGTTTCCTGAAGTGTTTTTCTTTTTTTTTTTGGTCTGTCCTTTCACTTTCTTTCCCTACACCTCCTTTCATTTTTCTTTCTTTAGGAACACTCATGGGAGACCCTGTGGTCATGCTAAGTTTGTACCCAGAGTTTCCTGCAGGACTGATGTCATCTGTAACATCTTGTGGTGAATTTGTGTTCGTAATGGACAGATCTGGCAGTATGGGCTGTCCGATGCATAGAGGGAAAGATGCACAGACGCGCATCGCGAGTGCCAGGGTAAGACTCAACACTGAACTGAAGTGAAAACACTGAAAAAATAAGCTCCATCAGAATGGATTTATTGCAGTAGTTAGAAATAACTTTGCTTGCCATTTAATAGCTGTATTTGAACAAGTGAACTACAGTCACAGAGTCAGAGCAACATACAGTGCATAAACATAAACTCGATGCCTGGAACTACTGATGATTAGACGTGTCAAACAAAGAAAATATAGACCTATAGATAAGTCAACAAGCAGCCGACCAACAAAAGAAAATTTCAAAGTTTCAGTTTCCCTCGAGAGCCTCCACTGTAACAAGAATCAACTAGTTGTCCGAACAAAAGTGAGCAGCTACAATTCCAGAGTTGAAAGCTTTGACTGTATATATGATGAATATGTTTATTGGTACGAACAGCCACTTTTGCTCTCTCTGGATTCCCCCTATGGATTTAAAGTCAAAAGTTTAAAATAGGGGTGTGTTTAAACAAAGGCGTTTCAGCTAACCTGCCCTGGCAGTAAATAGCAAGGAGACATTGAAAGTAAACAGAACTTTCATTTAAGCTAATTTGCTCAATGTCCATGTGGGAAGAGTAGAGCCACCCCATTACATTGGCAGCCTATTCCCCACATGCAGAACAACATCATGCCAGGCATCAACATTCCACAGTATTTTATTTACTTAAAATATTACAAACCCAATTCCAAAAAAGTTGGGACAGTATGTGAAATGCTAATTAAAACAGAAAGCAGTGATTAGTAAATTCTGTTTGGCCTGTATTAAAGTGAAAACAGTATAAAAACTCAACATTTGATGTTTTACCTTATAAACTTAATCGTTTTCGTAACTATTTGCTCATTCCACATAAGATGCCTGCAACATGTTGGGACAGGAGCATGTTTACCACTGTGTTACATCACCTTTCCTTTTAACAGCACTTAATATTTTTTTTGAGGATTGAAGTCACCAATTGATAGGAATTATTTGTCATTCTTCAGTTACACTAGTCTTCAACTGTGCAGCCATACAGGGCCTTCATTGTCATATTTTGCACCTCACAATGCGCCACACGTTTTCAGAAGATGTTTTAAGTCTAACAAAGGCAGTCTCTGATTATGCAGCTGTGCAGTTGTAACATGCAGAATATTTCTTGTTCTTTCTTCTTCGTTTAGTTGTCATATTGAAATAAGCGTGGATGTCCTTGAAAAAGACAGTGTCTATAAGGCAGCATATGTTGCTAAAATGTACATATATCTTTCTGCATTAATGGTGCTTTTACAGGTGAACACAGAAGTTACCTACTAATAACCTGCCCATAACATGACAGACCCTGGCTTTTGCACTTTACGCTGGTAACAATCTGGATGGTCCTTTTCTTTTTTGGCCCAGAGAAGACAATATCCATTATTTACATAAACAGTCTGAAAGGTTGACGCACGTTTCCACTGTGCGTCCATTAATATCAGATGAGCTCAAGCCCAGAGAAGTCGGCAGTGTTTTTTGGACATTGTTGTCCTAGGGCTTCTACTGTGCATAGTACAGTCTTACTTTGGATTTGTAGATGCAGCGGCAAATAGTATTTTTTTTTTTATATATATATATTATTTTTTTTCAATTTTTACCCGGTTTTCTCCCCAATTTAGTCATCTCCAATTACACCCGCTAGTTAGGACTCCCCCAATCACACACAATGCTACCAACGCTAGGAGGGTGAAGGCTAACACAGGCTTCCTCCGAGACCTGTGAAACCAGCCACCGCTTCTCGAGCTGCCGCTCACACAACGTCATTGGACAGCCGAACGCGCTCGGAGGAAAGCGCCAACCGGCAGAGAGTGAGGCCAGTTGTGCTCTCTCGGACTCCCGGCTAAAGATGGCTGTAGCATCACCAGGGATCGAACTCGCGATCTCCTGATGATAGGGCCAATGCTTAGACGGTTGCACCACTTGGGAGACGATGCAGTGACATTCATCACAGAAGCATGCCGGTTTTTAATATAGTAAAAGAGGTCATGGGCATTCAGTGGTTTTTGACCTTGCCCTTTAGACACTGAGATTTCCCTTCATCTTTTGATATTATGATGCACCGCAGAGGGTGAAACACCTAAAATTAGGGGTGGGAATCTCTAGGCACCTCACGATTCGATTCGATTACGATTCAGAGGGCTGCGCTGCAAATATAAAACAATTATCAATGCATCTTGATGCATCTTTTTTTCTATACAGGATTTCTTTTTTCTTACTGTGTGACAACTTGGAACTTTTAAAGCAAAGTATTTGTAATGATCCATAATGAATTTACTTCCAATATCTTTTGTTAATAAATCAAATGGAATTCATGTGGCCTGGACGGCTCTCATTCACTGCTCTTGTTTGGAGCACATGAGACGCTGCTGCCACTCATCTGTGTTAAAATGTGCAGTTATGGTGAAATAAGATCCTGTGGCAGTGAATGTCCATGCAGGAGATTATAGCTACTCTACCCGTTTTCCTCAGTGATTCCATAACTTAGGTTTTGGTGTCATTGTAGAGAGTGGGGGGGTCGCTGTGTCAGTAAAATATCTTCGAGACGGGTCACTGCATCTCGGCTCCAAAGTGCAACATAGCACGAAAGCCCTGGTTCTCAAAGACTGAGTACGGATGCAAATCCTTGGCAATAAAAGTTCCAATAGAGTTGTAATTCGCTTTGTCCTTTTTGATTTGGGTGGAAGCTCTGACATCGCTTGATCGATGGTCCTCTGGTTGGCAGCAACTACAACTGGACGGAAAATGGGTGGAAACGTAATATGCTAAACAGAAGCTAAAGTGCTTCCATACGCTAGCTAAGGGGTCGGCAACCTTTTACTGGCCTGGTGTGGCTCCGCATCAAAGTTAGATTTCTAGGTAAAAATAAAATAATCCTCATTTGCAGTAAAATAAAGCTCTGCTGATCGTTCAAACACACTTTCAACAATAAATGATCTTAAACGCTGCAATTAATATAGCCTATAACTGCTAGTTCACCTAGCTAGTAGCTAACAAAAAGGCAAAGAGAAAGATTCAAGATGAACATCCATAATTTGGAGACTTATTTGCATTTATAATCACTGCTGCTGGTTTCCTGATACATTTAATCTTCAATGAGAAACTGTCAAACACTAAAAAAACAGTGAAACTGAAGTCAGTTTCTCGTTCTCCAGCTTCTTGTTCGAATTGTCCCGTTCCACCTTAAATGGTGCAGCAGTTACATTCTCGCGCCTCAGGTACCATTTAAGGTGGAACGGGACAATTCGAACAAGAAGCTGGAGAACGAGAAACTGACTTCAGCCTCATAAAAAAGTAGAACATTGAGGAGTTTTGGAGTTTTTAAACACCTCAGTGTCACTGCTGGACTGAGAATAGTCTACCAATTAAAAATATCCAGACAACAGCGTCCTGTGACCACTGATGAAGGACTAGAGGATGACCAACACAAACTGTTCAGCAGCAGATGAGCTATCGTCTCTGACTCTACAAGGTGGACTGACAAGGTAGGAGTGTCTAATAGAGCGGACAGTGAGTGGACACTGTTAAAAAACTCCAGCAGCACTGCTGTGTCTGATCCACTCGTACCAGCACAACACACACTAACACACCACCACCATGTCAGTGTTACTACAGTGCTGAGAATGATCCACCACCCAAATAGTACCTGCTCTGTGAGGGTCCATGGGGGTCCTGACCACTGAAGAACAGGGTAAAAGGGGGCTAACAAAGTATACAGAGAAACAGATGGACTACAGTCTGTAATTGTAGAACTACAAAGTTCACCTATATAGTAAGTGGAGCTGATAAAATGGACAATGAGCGTAGAAACAAGGAGGTGGTCATAATCTTATGCCTGACCGGTGTACAGTACTGTGCGAAATCTTACTTTTATACACAGCACTGTGCAAAAGATTAATGCAGTAAACAGTAACAAGAAGGTCTGTTTTCAAAAAAGTTGATATAAAGTTGTGCTAGTTAGAAGAATGGAGGTTCAGTTCTAGATTTCCCTCTGATGCCCCCAGCTGTTGTGTGGATTTGTTACATTTTTTAAATTGAGAAATGATTCAATGGTATGAAGTGTTAGTCAAACCAGGTATTGAATGATAACTACAGTTGATACTGGGCTTCCTGGAGGAGCAGTTTGGAAATGATTTAACAATATGTATCTATATCAAAACTGCAGTTTTATATACATTCAGTTTGATCAACACTTATTAATAGTTTGTTTTATTTATTTTTTAGGACACTCTGCTCCTACTGTTGAAGAGTCTCCCTCTGGGCTGCTACTTCAATATCTATGGCTTTGGTTCACACTATGAATCTTTCTTTCCGTGAGTGAATTGAAATCACAGTCTCAGTTCATGAATGAAACACTTTCACACTGAAGGTGATTCAGGACTGGTTTAACGTTCAGGACTTTGTGTGTGTGTGTGTGTGTGTGTGTTTGCTGTCTTCAGGAAGAGTGTTGAATACACTCAGGAGACAATGGACCAGGCTGTGAAGAGAGTAAAGGAGATGGAAGCAGACATGGGTGGCACTGAGATTCTGCAGCCTCTGAAACACATCTACAGTCAGCAGTGCATCCCTAACCAGCCCAGACAGGTAACATCACTTACTTGTTCACTGTAATCTCATTCAGATATTAATCTGTGTTATGTAGGAGATGGTTAGGCAAGATCTTATACTTTTCATCTGACAAAGTCTTTCAATGCAAACAACCAAAACATCTCTACTAAAAATAAAAAATAAAATAATGTAATAAAAATGTAAAATTTGTTTGTAGCACCTGCCGTTTGTGAACCATTCTGTTGAAAGTACCACAAACACCCCACATACCCCACAGTTAGGGTTATCAGACTAAGGGGCTAGTTGTGACATTCACTAGGAAAGCCTGATTAATTGGGGCGGTTAATTCAATACAGTTCTTTATTGATTGAACCAGATAAGCTTTTTAGCCTGAATATATAAAAATGTTTGCATCATTAAAAATATATATGATTAGCAAAGGAGACTGTCTGAAACAGTAGCATTTTAACAGTAAAGCAAAATAGAAAATTTCAGTGCAGTAAAATTTAACTATATTTTATTTAAATGACATCTGTAGTATGTTTTTGATCTGGACCTGTAAATACAAATTTTGAAAATATGTTTCATAATGCTGTTTTGAGTTGAGCTGGAGAGGCAGGGACTACTTTGGTACTTTGTTACTTCTGCTGCAGGCCTGAAATGTCATTTAAACTAAATAAACTAAAAGTCAGAGTTTTGAGTTTTGGTTGCACCTCACTTATCGTTGGTTGAAACACCTTTTTTCCTTCCTCTTGGTCTTAAAAGTATGGACTTCTGTCATTGTTTACTTTGGGAAGCTTAGTTGTAACACTGCATTAAAACTAACCCTGCCACGAGACGGCTTTAGTCTATATTTTTAGTTCTCAAACCCCCAGATTTTTTGCACCATCCATACTTCAGTGATTGAAAAAGTGGGCCATCAGAGGGGTCCCTGAGGACGAGTTTGAGAGCCACTGGAATATATGCTTCAAAACTGTGTTATATTGGATGATAAAATATATAAAATATGTGAATGTGTGAATTCTGTGACTTGCACAGTAACTAAAAACACTTGTGATGAAAAAAGTGAAATTTTGCGTACGAAGATGATATGGGAATACAAAGATGACCAGAAGCACATTCTGCTTGAACCTGTTTAGCCACATAAAAAACATTTTGTTACATTTTACCTCATGTTGGGTTGTTCTGTGCTCTGAATCCTTTCACTGTCTAAAGAAAAACAAATATCTCCAACAGTAACTGGAGAAGGCAAAAACTTTCTTAACTTTTAATGTAAGTTCATGTAAAGAGATTTTATTCCAAATGTGTTTTTGGAGCATTTTATTCATCCACTTCACTATGTAAAAATAAAAATCAACAAAAATGGATTCTTCTTTTTGGTCCATCAGAATTTCAGAACTGCTACAAAAGTGTGATCTGATATTCATTCAAGTTACAGTAAAAAATTATAGCTGTATGTAACAAAGAACACACTCAGCATTTTACTTTTTCATATCTTTATTGTGCAAATACAGATATTTTCTCACAGCTGTGCTTCTGTGAACTTTTGTTCCAGGATTACAGGAGAGCATGCTTGAAAATATTGAAGTGCCTCTTTACTGATGATTTTGTCCTGAATATTCTGGCTTGAAGTTCTCTGACGTCTTTTTTTTCTTCCTGCAGGTCTTCATGTTCACTGATGGAGAGGTGTGGAACACCAAAGAAGTTCTTTCCCTCGTGAGAAACAACGCTGAATCTCACAGGCATGCAGACTTTATCGCCTAAAAAATGTACATATAACTAGAACTGTTCATGATACAGTTAAAAAACAACTGTGAAATCATAACTAGACTGACGGAGTGTAACTAGTTACAGAGCTACTCAGCTCACAGAACTGTCTTTACAAGTACTAATGTTCTATCACAGCAATACACTTTCAGTTCTGCACTGTGGTTGAGTAAAGTATGTGGAGGAAACTGCAGAGAAACTTTCAAAGAGATTGTGGTTTATGCAGCTTTTCACAGGCAAGCTGGTCGTTTAACTTACAAATTTGAGGGTTTATTTATTTGATCACTACAAGTAGGTCTTTGTACCTCCAGACAATACAATAAAAATTTTTTTGTTTGTTTTTTTCTACTTTTTGGTGTACTGGGGACGACTCATGAGAGAGTTATAATATATTGATTAAGTACTCACAACTGTGAACAGTACTAGTGAAAATAGTGCAAATCGTGTAGCACAGCTTTATAGAAATCAGTAATTTTACTGTCTTTATTAAATGACTGAGCTGCTGTTGTTTCAACAGGTGCTTCTCGTTTGGGATTGGTGAAGGTGCGAGCACCGCCCTCATCACAGGAATGGCTCGGGAGGGATGTGGCCATGCCCAGCTTATCACAGGCACTGACCGCATGCAGCCCAAAGTAAATCTGGCTAAAACTAGCAGTAATTATAATAATCCATGCTGTAATATTGGACCATGTTTTTTAAATAGTGTGCAAAACCCTGGGGAGACGTTTATAAGGTATAAACATTATCATGTATGTACACATGTTCAAATCAGCTGTTGATGCTTTTATACACACAAAATGCGCCACCACAAATGTTAAGTAGACTTTAATACCATTAAATGATTAAAGTACTTTATCACCTTACTGATATGAATAGTGTAAGTTAGCTATGATTTCATTTGATGTAAATGTGTAAACTCTAATATTTGCATTTCCATTGAACAAACTCTATACTTAGTCATGAATGTCATGTATTATTTAGAGTAAACACTTGTTTTCATTTTATTTATCTCACTTTTTACTTCAATAACAGTAAATGAAACAAGGTTCAGATCTTGGTGTCAGTTAAGCAGAAAAATATATTTATGAGCACTTTAAAGGTGCTATTCTTACTCTCTGCTGTCGGCTCTGCACAAACACATTCATCACTTTCCTTCAACATCTTTTACATTGTTTATTTACTCTTATTCACTCTCTTTCCTTCTCTCTTTCTAGGTAATGCAGTCTCTCCGCTATGCTCTACAGCCAGGTGTGGTTGATATTAGTGAAGAGTGGACGGTCCCAGTGGGCATGTCCGCCACCCGCCTTAGCCCACCCATTAACATACTCTTCCAGGGTCAAAGGGCACTGATTTACGCTCAGCTGAAAGGAGAGGTGAGAGCATTAATCTGATATTTACAGGGAAACAAGCTTCCACTATTCTACCCTTTTCCTTGAATCTAGTAGTCCATGAGCTTTACAACTATTTAAATAGATTAGAAACATTCAGAAATGAATATTGGTGACACAGCGCTGCTTTCAGTTATGAGTCTCCTTATTTAGTGAGTGAACTGATGACACAGCCACACTTCTTTCTGTCTGTAGAGTCAGAGCTCAGACTCTGAGGGGACTGTAACAGTGAAGTACCGTCTAGCAGATCAAGAAGTCACCAACACACTCAGCTACTCCCTCAAACCTGCTGAGAATACAGGGTAACATTCAGTTACATGTTCATTCTGTGATCTCCACTGTTTTCTCTGAGGAACAGTTACTTTTTCATTTCTTTCTCCTCTACTGATGTTATGACATCACAGTAAGAACAACTACAGCAGTCAGACTGAGCTGGATGAGTTTAACTGACTTCATCATAAAAGCATGGTAGTGTGTGTTGTGGTGGTGCGATTGTGTCAGGCACAGTGATGTTACTGGGTTTTTATTCACCTCAATGTCACTGCTAGGTTAAGAATAGTCCACCAACCAATGATATCGAGCCAGTAGTCAGAAACCGACCACTGATGAAGAGCTAAAATATGCTGAACACAATTTATAGTCTGTGTTGTCTCTTCTCTATCTTTACAGGTGGACCAACAAGGTAGGTGAGTTTAATAGAGTGGACAGTAAGTGTACACAGTGTTTCAAAAATAAGCAGCACCTGTGCCTGATACACTCGTACCAGCACCACACGCACTACCATGTTGATGTCACTGCCACATTAGGAATGGTACACCAGCCGATACCTTGGTGATCTTAAGGTGGTCCCTCTCCATTGATGGATGGGGTCAAAGGGGGTTGGACTATAGTTAGTAACTGAAACCTATAAAATGCAGCTATGCAGTAAGTGTATCTGATAATATGGCCAGTCTAAAAACATGCTAGCATTTACAGTCATTTGGCTTCATCACCCTCACACAGCTTGTACACTGTCTGTTTGTTCAGACTGTCCATCCACGGACTGGCTGCCCGCTCTCTGATCCGCTCTCTGGAACGGGAGGAGCAGAATGAGGGAGCTGAGAAAGAGGCTTTAAAGGCCAGAGTGGTGGAGCTCAGTGTGCAGGCTGGAGTGAGCAGCTCACACACAGCCTTCATTGCCGTTCATAAGGGCAGTGGAGAGGCTGTGAAAGGACCACTGCTGAGGAGGAGAGTTCCTACAGGAGGTTAGTTTTGCTTTATACAAAACTTCTGATCTCATTGTGCTTTTGTTTTGAGCACAGACACATCATGGATAACACATGGAGAACTTAGTGTCCTGTTTTTATGTGCTTCCATTTAGGGATGTTTCTTATGAAGAAAGCAAAACAAAAGGGGTTCATGGGTGGCTTCCTCAGAAGTAAGTAACAGAAAATGCTAGTTTCTAAATGTTTAATTCATTATTGAACACAGTACTGCTCTTGTACTCATTAGTCCCTCACACAAGTCTTCATTTTCTTTTCTTTATCGTATGGTTAAAAACTAAAAGCAATCAGTTATCATTTAACAGCGCAGAATAAGCTAAGAAGTCTTGTTAACCCTTTAACAACCAGTTCAACTAAACCAAACTACATACATTTCATTTTGTAATTTGAAGCACAGGGGGATCGTAAATCCATCTCCAACAGTACATATTATTCCAGTTGACTACAGTGAGCATGTGAATCAGTGTACATCCACAAGGGGGCGTCTGTCTTATTTGAAAAATGACATTGAAGACATTGTCTTCTCATGATATAAGCATCATTCTCCTATAAATATCTGTCAGCCTTGTTCACAGTCTGCTGTGTAGAGGATAAAGATGTCTGTGACCGTTGAAAAAAGAAAAGTGTGTTTGATCAGGGCCCAGTTTCCCAACAGCATCTTAAGGTCTTAAGAGTTAAGGTCATCTTTACTGGTAGAGAGAGTGTTCAGCCCAGATCAGTTTTGATTTAATCTTAATGTGTCTTTCTGTTTCATTTAAATCCTTTTATATTAGCACATTTAAATGCATTAAAAATGACTTGTAACACATTATATCACTACAGTGACTGGTAAGACTCAATGCACCATACAATTAAAAACATGTTGCAAACTCATAAAAGCAATGCAAATTCAGGAAACACTTTAATCAACATTACTACACCAGAGCTACATTTCACAAACGTGCTGCAAATACAGAAAACACACTTCACATCCAGTCACGACACAACAGAAGTGAACCACAACACAACGGAAATGTTTCTGGAAGACTGGAGATGGAATATCTGTGACGGAAAAGAAGTTGGTAAGTTGATAAGACCACAGAGACTCACATTCAGTGAGCTCATGGCTCACTTTGCTAGTTAGTTAACTATCTGACATGACTCAGCAGTACTATGGTAGTTATATCTTCTTGCTATTTTAACATTTGCTGTTTCAGTCGTGCTAAAAAGCTACTTTTGTGAGTGAGTTTACACGTGGGACAAAACAAAGCTCAGAATCTTAGACACACCCAGGTTTCATACTTCAGGTTTGGTCTATAAAGCAAAAGAGCCTAGCTTCTCATTAAGCATGTTTCTCTGAATTTTAATACCAAAGATCAGTATTTCAAAATTTTCCATTTCAGTTTTCACTCAGACATGTCCAAGCTGAAACATGATAGTGCACTTTCAACCAGCACAACTCAACAGCCATGTTTCTGTTAGGTACAAGAAAAGTGGAATTAAAGGAGGATTAATGGAGCACCTCACCCATCACATGTAAAATTCAGTTATGTTCACATGTGGGAGTACAAACTTGTTATGGTTTGCATGAAATAAATCAATAAAAGATGTTTTTTAAACCAGCAGTACAAGAGTTTTTACAGTCAGTGGGGGATGGTACCATGGTTACCATGGTAACTCTGATAACTGATAACTTTTGGAGTAGAAATGTTCACATACTTTGAACATTATGAACATATGATTACTTTTACATAAGTAAGATTAGTATTAGATTTCTTACAGGAACATCAAATTTAAAAAAAAAAATCTATGTACATATTTTTTTTCTATTTTTATCTTCCCTAAGGTTGTGGTCCACCACGGATGCTCAAGGGTAAATGTATATAAGTTATTTTGCTTTGACTTTGAATGGAGTAAAATTGTGATTTCACATCTTGTGTTAATACTAATACAATATTACTTACTTGTAAATGTTTCTAAACATATTTATTACTTATGCAGTACTTTTTAATGTATACATTTGTAAATAAATATTTATATTTTCTTTTTTCTATTTTTGGCTCACCAAGGGTGTCGCCAAAAAGTGGTCAAGGAAAAACTTAAACTGAAGGGTAAATTAAAAATTTAATGATAATTAAAAATGATGTATTTAAGCTATTTTCATAATCTGCATGTTATGAATGGAGGGATGGTTTAAATGAAAAGCTGACACTGCTGTTTTAAACTAATAAATTTAAATTAATTCTCTCTCTCTCTCTCTCTCTCTCTATATATATATATATATATACAAAGGTGCAGCACCAATGATGGCCATGGGTAAATATATATAGCGTATTTTGCTTTGACGTTAAGTGGAGTAAAATTGTAAATGCTAGTCTTAATTACAAGATTGGTATTACTTACTTATAAATGTTTATAAACATATTTATTACTCATGCTGTATTATGTAAACAGATGTAAAAAAATATATCTTTTTTCTGTTTTTATCTTCCCAAAGGTGGTGCTGCACCAGAGATAGGTAAATGTGCATAACTTACTTTGGTTTGACTTAAATGAAGTAAACTTATTCCAACTGTAAATTGGAATATTTGGTTCTTAGACATGATTAGTTACTATTTAATCAATAACACCCACTGTTTCACACATACTGATATCTACTGATGAAATAAGGAACCAACAAACAAATTTAAACAGCTTCAACCTTAGATAAGTCACTGTCTCTAGGTCAATGTCAAGCTGCTGATAATGTGTTGCGCTTTCAGTGCATACAGATTTGACAGGTTTGACTGTTCTTTTATTTTATGTGTATATTTTTTTCTCAGAAGATTGATAATAGGCTTGTAGATTACATTAAAGATTTAGTGCCACTACATAGTGACAGTCATTAATCTGCATGTTATGAATGGCAGAGTGGTGGTTTAAATGAAATGCTGACACTACTGATTAATTCTCACCTTAGCTGAAATGGGGTTTTACAGTCAGCAGGGGCTGTTACTGCTGTAACTCAGATAACTGTCACTGAGTGCAGGCCTAAAAATAGATTCTCCATTTGAAGGATTTCATTATTTTTAGTTAAGGTTTGAATACTTTTGGAGTAGAAATGTTCACATACACTGAACATGCCAACTTTCCATCTTTATGCATATGAAGCATTATTGCTTACTTATGCTTATGAACATATGATTACTCTTATATAAGATTAGTAACACATTTATTACTTATTCATTTCTTTCTTATTACGAATGCATGAGGAAACTGTATGAGAACGCGAGAGCTGAGGCGAAATGATCTATGAATGAAATAAAAATTGGTGGTGAAACCTTCGTTTCCTCACGTTAGGTAGATTAGACAGTGCACTGTGTGGACCGGCTGCAGGGTTCTGTGTGGTGATTATGTTGTTCAGCATGATTAGTTAGACAGATTTTGCAAAGTAAATGTTAACATCAGTGATATTACTGTTCAAACACTGAAGTGATTAAATATTGTCATGTTGACTGGCTTACACAGGAATACAGTAACACTTCATTTCTGCTTTCTGATGGCTGTTCTCACATCAAACTGTACAGCACACAGAATAAATTTTAATTTTCTCAAATAGCAGATAAATCATTATCCTGTAGGTGTTTTATCATTTTGGTTGACGTACCCCATTTTTGAGCACTTGCCTGTTTAAGGGTCTCTGCATGGCCTTGCATGAAAGCTTGACATTGAAAACAAAAAGCTGATTGCATGAAACATGAGGAGGAGTCACCGTAGCATGAAAAAGAAAATTAACTAAACCTAAATATGTAGTGAGTAAAATATTTACAAAGGCAAAAAGCAACACTGTCACGACTGCCAACAGAGTTAAATCCACCGAAGTTTAAAGTTAGCCAGATAAGTAAGAAATACTGCGTGGTGAGACGCAGCCCTGGATCGAGAGTGCTGAGAAGATTGTAAACTGTGATTTATTAGGACCTTTAATGAGCATCCAATTATTAGCAATACACAAAATAGCCAGTTATACATTTACATAATGTAGGCAGTGTGTGGTTGTCATTGTTATTAGTTAGCCTTTAATTTTGGAGTAATTCAGCTAGCAAGCTGGGGGTGGTGATAAACTAATCATTGGTCCATGTGAGCAGCATCACAGTCAAAGAATATTCCATTAGCAGCTGAAGGTTTTGTCATGACCTGGCGCAGAAACGCGTAATTGTGCTCTTACGAGGCGATCACAAATGTACGTATGTCAAGTATTTTACGCTGTCTTTAAAGGCACCTCAGCCACTCAGGTTTTAGGAGTGGATCCATCCATTCATTCAATTTGAAGTGAATTTAATCAAATTAACTCAAATTCAGTTTTCCGACTGTATTTGCTTTATTTGCTCTTATCTTTTTTTTAACATGCTACAGTAAGAAAGCAGCAATGTTGGAACAATGAAGTGAAAGGGGTTATTTCTGTTTAATATTTAAAAGATTTGTATTTCAGATCAAAAGATGACCATGATACCAAAGCACAGAATGTCAGCTTATATTTCTGCCGATGGTTTCAAAACAATCCATACAGGAAAAAAGGGTCATTTGTTGTGCTTATTTTTGTGGTTAGTTCTTAGACATACAGTAAAATATGTGTGCATGTGCCTCTGTAGAAGAGGACTCTGTAGGCCCTGTGGAAGCTATTAAAGACCCCCTGCTGCAGCTCATCTCCCTCCAGAAGGCTTCAGGCTGCTGGGAAATGGACGGTGCGCTGGTGGAGGTGTTTGGGAAGACAGAGGAAGAGGTGGTCAAGCAGACCCCCGCACAGGTGAGTGATGTATTGAATGTAAGGTGTTTGTCAGCAATACAGACTATATGATGATCTTGTGATCTACTGCTGGAGTTTGATTATTGATTTGGTGAACGTTTTTATTTTATGATCTAAAATTTAATCTCAGATTGTACTGAGACACTTGTATATACCTGTATGTGTCCACTATTCATTTCAGTAGTGAGCTTGGTGCATGATGCATACAACATGGTGAAATCTGTTATGTGAGACTGAGCGAGATGACTTACTGGCTTGTGCTGATCATTGATGCACATTCTGAAAATGATAAAAGTCTCCATTTTATACTCATTGGGGGTTTGAAATCCTCCAGGAACCTAAATCTGTGTTTTATTTCCATGTATGTTAATCTATACCATCATATGCAAAGTTTAGACATAAAATCAGCCCAATGATTATGATTTATGAGATGCTAATTTATAATAATGGGAAGTTTTTCATTATAAAGACTTACTAAATGCCTAAATGGACCAAATTAGTTCAAACTGCAGTCCCTCATAAAGAAAAAAATATAAACACAATTAAATATTCAGACCTCAAATATTTGCAAAGATCATGATATGATCTATTCCAACTAAATATTTAGCTAAATATAAACAAAATCATCATATAGAGGATACATTCTGTTGAGAGGGTCTGTCCCAAACTGTAACCTCTAAATTTTGGCTTGTGAAAATAATATATTTTTTACATTGTTTTTAAAAAGATCTTTGATTTCTTGTGAAGTTGAATTTAATTTTTAAATAAAAACTTTTTTTTATTTTGCCACACCCCTGCATTTTAGGTCAGGAAGTGAGACTGCATCTCTCTTCCTCATGGTCACATGACCAGCAGTTAGATCTTAGTGTTTTGTGTTCCAAAGTCTGAAAATCAGTGTCTTACGTTAAAAATTGTCACTACCAAAACACACATTTTCTGCAATTTAGTAAAAGTTTTTCTGCGTTTTACTGAAAGATTATTATGATCTTATGTGTTCAGCTGTTCAAAGCCATATTTTCTGGTCGTGTACTGGCTAGCATTTTTGAGTTCTGCTCAAAATTGCCACTACTAAAGCAGTGACTACTGAACCATTTAATAAGGTTTCAGTAGTGTTATGATTGTTTTGGTAGTGAAATAATGGAATGTTCAGTCATTTGTTTTATTAAAAGTATAGGGTCACTTAAAGGATTTTAGTCTAAAGTCCAAGTCAGAAGCAAAGTCAATGTTTTCAACTCTTACTTTCAACCAATTCAGTAGAATGATCCATAGATTTTTTTCAGTGGCAGAAATGCTTGTTGTTTCTTAGCTGGTGTGTTTTAGTGCCTGTTGTTTTGAGTAATTCAGAATTTTCAAATCACTCAAAGCCCATGTACAGTTATTCCAGAGGCCTTTAGCTACAGATCAGCTACAGATGACCCTTAACAAATTATGTCATGACATTACATTCCCAATCCCCCTTAGTCACATTAGAACTTACTGAAAATAACTGATTTATGCTGGTTTATACTGGTCTAGGGCGGCATGGTGGCGCAGTGGGTAGCACTGTCACCTCACAGCAAGAATGGCCTGGGTTCGATTCCCGGGCGGGGGACCTGGATCCTTACTGTGTGGAGTTTGCATGTTCTCCCCGTGTCTGCGTGGGTTTCCTCCGGGTACTCCGGTTTCCTCCCATGGTCCAAAAACATGCAGTCAGGCCAATTGGACATGCTAAAATTGCCCCTAGGTGTGAGCGTGTGTGTGATTGTGTATGTCTGTCTGTCTGCCCTACGATGGACTGGCGACCTGTCAACCACCGTGACCCAGAAGGATAAGCGGTTTAGATGATGTATGTATGCTGGTCTACTGCTGATAACCAATAGGACCATTAAAATATTCATTATGGTTAATGGTTCCAGCAGTCTTTTTGGCAGGTGGACAATGAACTAGAACTAAAAGCGTAAGTTCAGTTGATTCATGTTTAGGTCAGTTCTTGTTTTTTAATGTGCAGTGGGAAAACACCCTTAGAAACCCTGCAATGAAATATGTAGCTGGTGCACAATTATGTGACAAAAATTGACTACACAATGTTATGAAGTTATTGACCTGGGAAAATCAGGTTAAGAGTCTGTTTTTCCAATTGTTTGGTTAAATAAGTCTCAGGATTGGTACAAATCCTGTTGTACCACTGAAGTGCTGCCTCCTTTATCCACCTGGATGTAAATTCTTTGCTGTTATGATGTACTGCTGACTTGTCCTATAAGTTTTTTATAAAGGAGGTACTCTGACAAATTTTCTTGTAGACATTTAAGTGCTGATGTTTCTGATAGTTTTTAAAAAATTGTATTTATTTTATTTATATGTGTGTATTATACATTTTTAAATGTGTACATTCAGTTAGAAGAATGTTCGTAGGCAGTTCTAAGTACTTGGTATTTATATGTATGTATGGGTGATGTATTATGTTGTATGTTGTGTGTGGTGTTGTGTTCAGGTTGAGATGGGAGTCTGGGCTACAGTTCTGGCTCTGATCTGGTTACACGGGTTTAAGATGGACGCTCAAGTTGAGTGGCAGTTTGTGGCCATGAAGGCAGTGACATGGATCCGCAACCAGAAAGGTAAACTCTCCATTCTCACCAGAAATCACTGATCAGAACCCAAAACAGTTACACTCAACACAACAAACATTGTTTGTTCTAAGGTCTATTGATGATGATGATGATTTGCGTATGTGTGTGTGTGTGTGTTTCAGTGGTCAGTCTTTCTGAGAGTGTTCGTGTGGGTAATGATCTGCTGGGCTGCCAGGTTAAAGAAGAGGATCTTGGACTCTGAAGTCTTCATACATTCTTTCTCTAAAGCTGCTGTGCCTAATGCAGACTTCAGAAATCCTTACAGCCCACACCTCATTTACTAATGTTTACACAACCACTGGTGTTTATTTTAATTTTAGCAAAATTATCCAGCAAAATTAGTTTTACATTACATTATTTTTTTTTAAGTACAACCCCATTTCCAAAAAAGTTAGGATGCTGTGCAAAATGTAAATAAAAATAGAATGTAATGATGTGAAATCATGTAAACCATTTTTGTCTACAAAGACAACAAATCAAATGTTGAAACTGAGAAATTTTATTGTTTTTTGAAAAATATTTGCCCATTTTGAGTTTGATGCCAACAACATGTTCCAAAAAAGTTGAGACAGGGGCCTGTTTACCACTGTGTTTTATCGCCTCTTCTTTTAACAACACTCTGTAAGTGTTTGGGAAAAAGACATCATCTGGATGGCAGCATATGTTGCCAAAACATGCATATATCATTGAGCATTAACGGTGCCTTCACAGATGTGCACGTCACCCATGCCATGTGCACTAATGCACCCTCATAACATCATGAATACTGGCTTTTGAACTGTGCACTGATAACAAGCTGAGTAGTCTTTAGCCTGGAGGGCACAGTGTCCATGATTTCCAAAAACAATTTCAAATGTTGATTTGTCGGACCACAGCACACTTTTCCACTTTGCCCCAGTCCATTTTAAATGAGCTCAGGCCCAGAGAAGGTGGCAGCATTTCTGGATCCTGTTTATATATGATTTCCTCTTTGCGTTTAAAAGTTTTAACTTGCATTTGTGGATGCAGTGACGAACTGTTTTTACAAACAGTTTTCAGAAGTGTTCCTGAGCCCATGCAGTGATTTCCACTACAGAATCTTGTCTGTTTTTAATGCAGTGCTGCCTTAGGGCCCAACGATCATGGCCAGCAAATACTGTCTCAGAAATACTGAGATTTCTCCAGATGCTCTGAATCTTTTAATGAAATTATGTACCACAGATGATGAAAAGCAAAAGTTCTTTGCTATTTTATGTTGAGAAACGTTATTCTTGAATTGTTGCACTATTTGATCATGCAGTCTTTCACAGAATGGTCAACCCCTCCATCATCTTTACTCAGCCTCTCTGGGATGCTTTTTACTGACCTGTTGCCAATTAACCACCAGGTGTTTTTTAAATATTACACAACTTTACCAGCCTTTTTTTGTTGCCCCCGTCCCAACTTTTTTGGAACGTGTTGTTGGCATCAACTTCAAAATGGGCAAATATTTTTCAAAAAAACAATAAAATTTCCATTTCCAATGAAATATAGGACTTGCTGATTTGCACATCATTGCATTTTGTTTTTATTTCCTTTTTTCATAGCATCACAACTTTTTTGGAAATGGGGTTGTAATATTGCTATTCAGATGTGAATACAGTTTTTCTTATCTTTGCATGTTTCAATCATTATGCCAAGCTAAAGGGCTTATTTGTTTTATTTCTGACTGTTTTGTGCCTTTTTTTGTCTGTTCTGAATAGATGAGATACAAGATATGGAGCTGTTACATTTAACAACTGGAGCTAACTATCGCAATATTTTTAATAAATATGCAAGAATCACTTCTGCAAATAAATGTTTTGTTTTTAGAAAGAGTGAAACATTTTTCATCCTTTTGAAAATCTTGAATAAATGCCACACAACATAAATAGGCTATAACTTCATTAACATTCTGTAAGACAAAGAGAATTAGAAAACTAAGAAATACTGAGTTGAATTAAACTGACAAATATTGTTTTCCAGGTAATAAATTGTCTGTAAGAAAGGTTGTAGATACACTGAAAATTCCAAAATCAAGAGTGAAAATGTATGTATATCTTTGGCTAATCTCAAGTTCACTAACTAGCTCATTGTCACTGTGCAAAGAACAACAAGTATCTCCAAAATGGTAACTGCAGCAGAGGGCAAAAAAGTTCTTTACTTTTAATGTAAGTCAATGTGAAGAGAATTTATTTCAGGTCATTTTGGAGCATTTCTACTGGTCCATTCATCATGAAATCTTGACTCGATGTAAAGGACAGCCAACGTGTTCAAATGATGCAGAAAACTGAAAATTGACAAAAATTGAGATACATGTTTTTCTTTGGACAGCAACAATATGTTACTACAACATATTTACTGTTTGGTACTTAAGGCTTCCCTGTTTTCTGAAAGAAATGGTCAGAAGTTGTTTGCCCAGTTATTGCTTTCTCACTCTCTGCTCCTTTCGTTTCTGAAATCCTGAGTTTGGTTCATTTTAACCAGTTCAACATTGGTGTACAGCCACTAATGATAGTGTGTGTCGGAAGATCAAACCACTTTTGCTTTTAAGGTGGGGGTGAAGCAATCATGGGACCAGCAGGGAGATAAGCAGAACTTATCATGGAAGATGCCGTCTCATATTGTTTATTTCTATAATAACAGAGAGTATCAAAACTAGAAACCAAAATCAGTTTATAGCCAAGGCTTTTGTAGGACATCCAGGGAAGGCCCAGGTTAGTCAGGTTCATAATTACCTGTGGTCCAACACCCCTGCTCACATCATCCTCATTCTGTTCTTAAGAATACTGTAGCATAGGTGAGACGTGGGCAAGATTGCACATATAGGCAAATGCTTTTATTTCTAAACAGACACAACAGGCAGCGAGATGCCCAGTCCAGGGCTACCCCAACACAAAACACAGAGATGGAATTGCAGAAGGACACGACAGGGAGGGTACACACTTGTAACACACTGTAAACCCACCCTCCTCAGTCACAATTACACCAATAACTAAAGCTCCACTAATAACATCACCAACAACAACTACTTTAACAAATGTTCTTCTTCAGTCTGGAGCGTGGCGCCTCCTGAGAGCCACTTTGCATGGCCACACCCCCTAAGCTCCTCAGGGCAGCGTGGAGCATGACAGATGCTACAATACTGATTTTGGAGCAGCTACTGATTTCCTCTGCTCTAAAGCTGAAAGAGGGTGGGATGTTCCTCCACATGAATTCAGCTGTTTAAATTTAGAACATAAAATATAAGAAACAACAACCTGAGACTCAAAGAATCAATAACCTGAGAACTATTCTGACTGGACTGGACTCTGTATCAGCAGATACCAGATCTAGTCCTATATGTTTCCTGCTCAGTTCCTCTGTAGAGCATAGTGGTGGATCTGCAGGTTAAGGGTCATGTGGCTACAGTGAGCTCCACTCTGCAGTATGTGAATGAAGAAGCACCCCCTGGAGGCCCTGTTTGTCTTCTCCATGCCCACAGCTGGTGTTTGATTTACACACTGTTTCACTGGTTGCTTTCAAGAGCAGATTGTTCGACTCCTTGCGTGGTTCAAATAGATTTGTAATGAATATCAAATAAATGAGTTCCCACTTTGCCACACCTCTGGAGTTACCTTGACTACTGAAGATAGCTGGAGTAATAAATCAGCATAGACACTCGTACTCTCAGACTGGAATTTCTTTCTGAGAGTAAAAACAATATGAACCTGTAGAGCTCCAGACTGAAGTGTTTTGTCTGTACTTCAGGCGCGGGAGGAGTATGATGATGCGATTGCTTCAGGAGATCAGGCCTTTCTACTGGAGGAGAGTGACGAGAGTGAGGATGTGTTCAGGCTGAGTGTGGGGAGTCTGCCTCCAGCCCAGAGTGCTGCTGTCACCTCCATCTACGTCACTGAGCTCTCTGTGCAGGCTGACCACGCCCTGCGCTTCTGCCTGCCTGCAGTGCTGAACCCCCGCTACACACCACCAGGTACCAAACTGCTCCAGCTCACTGAAAGACACACGCTGCACCTTTCCATCATGAACCAAACACACCGTCCTGAACAACACGACACCTGGCCTGTTACACATTACAGCTTTAATCAGGTCTGAAATTATGATCTGGACCTGAATGCAGTCTGAGTCTGACCCACAGCACCAAGTTTAGTATCTAGACCTGAATGTAATTTGAGTTTACAGTTCAAACTTGATTGTAGGATATAGAAATATAAGGAAAATAAGGAATCATGATAAACAAACATCAATTCGCCATCTATTTATACTGTAAATATCTAAAATGAGCTCTTATCTCTGGTTCCTCTGTTTTTCTCTCAGGTACAGGTGGTGGTATAGTGTCAGAGATAACATCATCACCAGCAGGTGTTCCCTACTCTCTCTCTCTCACTGCCCATGTGAGCTCTCCCAACCCCATCACTAAAGTAGAGTCCAAATGTCCTCTTGAGCTTCTTCTGATGCTCCTCAATACAGACCACACAAATGCAAATGTATGAGTGGGTTTAAAAAGACAGAATGTACTAGGGTAAGACTCAACACTGAACTGACTGTAGATTACTTTTTTCTGGAGAAATAAAAATACATTTAGGTTGAACAACATTTATTAACAGTCTTTGCTGTCTCTACGACACTCTGCTCCTCCTGCTGAGAAAAGATGAGTCTCCCTCTGCGCTGCTACTTCAACATCCATGGCTTTTGAACTGAGACTGTGATATAAATTCACTCATGGAAAAAAGGATTATATGAGTGAATATACATCACATTCTAAGTTCATGAATGGGACACTTTCAGAACAGAAGTAGATTCAGGACTGGTTTAACATTTAGGACTCTCCAGCAGCACTGCTGTGCCTGATCCACTCATTCCAGCACAACACACACTAACACACCACCACCATGTCAGTGTTACTGCAGTGCTGAGAATGATCCACCACCCAAATAGTACCTGCTCTGTGAGGGTCCATGGGGGTCCTGACCACTGAAGAACAGGGTAAAAGGGGGCTAACAAAGTATGCAGAGAAACAGATGGACTACAGTCTGTAATTGTAGAACTACAAAGTGCACCTATATAGTAAGTGGAGCTGATAAAATGGACAATGCGTGTAGAAACAAGGAGGTGGTCATAATGTCATGCCTGATCAGTGTATATTCACACACACACACACACACACCGAGGGGCAATTTAGCATGTCCAATTGGCCTGACTGCAAACCCACTCAGACACGGGGAGAACATGCAAACTCCACACACCCTGGTCGCCCGGCCAGGGAATCGAACCCAGGCCCTTCTTGCTGTGAGGCAACAGCTCTATCATTATTACAAGTG